TCTGTAGTGGAAGGAAGGCGGGGTAGGGGTCGGCCTAGGAAAGGTTGGAGGGAGGGGGTAAAGGTTTTGTGTGCGAGGGGCTTGGACTTCCAGCAGGCATGCGTGAGCGTGTTTGATAGGAGTGAATGGAGACAAATGATTTTTAATACTTGACGTGCTGTTGGAGTGTGAGCAAAGTAACATTTATGAAGGGATTCAGGGAAACCGGCAGGCCGGACTTGAGTCCTGGAGATGGGAAGTACAGTGCCTGCACTCTGAAGGAGGGGTGTTAATGTTAAAAACTGTAGTGTAAAGCACCCTTCTGGCAAGACAGTGATGGAGTGAATGATGGTGAAAGTTTTTCTTTTTCGGGCCACCCTGCCTTGGTGGGAATCGGCCAGTGTGATAATAAAAAAAAAAAAATATGTTCGAGCATGTGTATAATAGCATCATTAGTATTTTTATTAGGCCTGAACCCAAATTTTCTTGGCAGGGTTAGTATTTTTGGGAGATGAGGTAGGAGTAGATTCGTCTATGAATAATTTTTTCAAAAGATTTTTGAGAGAGGGTTAAAAGTTTGGATATTGGCCTATAGTTATTCAACTCTGTTTGGCCCTCCTCCTTTATGGATGGGGGTGACCCTTGCTATTTTTGAGAACTGTAGGAAGGTGGAGGATTCAATGGATTTGTTAAAGAGTGTTGCAATGATTGGTGATAGCACTTGTAAACACTTTTTTGTATAAAAAGGGGTGGTAAGGTATTAAATCTCCTGCCTAGTTTTTAGTGTGTTGATTAAATAAGGAAAACTTTCGTATGGTTAGTCGAAGCTAGGAACAGTGTGTTCGGGTAGTTGCCAGTGAGGTAGTCATTTGGTGGGGTATCTGAGCTTGGGATTTTTATGGCAAGGTTTTGTCCTATAGTGGAGAAGAAATCTTTGAGTCTGTTTGCTGTTTCTGTTGGTGGGAGTTGGGGTTTATCTAAATTTTTGCTTAATTTTTTATTTCGCTATTGGGAAATATCTTTTTTGTCCTAGAATTTCTGATAGGGTTTTCCAGGTCTTTTTTATATCACCTCGTAAGTTGGATAATCTGTTCTCATAATATAATTTTTTTGCCATTCTTATCAGGCTGGTTAGGATTGACGAGTAACGTTTTGTTTGGTCTCTGGTTATGTGACCCATTCTGCACTGTTTTTCATATCGGTGTTTTGTATTTATGGATTTGAGAATGCTGGGTGTTAGCCAGGGACTGTTCTAATTGATGAATTGATATAACACCCAAAATGTGAATGATACATAGCATCTTGGTACAATAGTTCCTCATACATGTAAGATTGTAGCTGTTTCCTAGGCAACACATGTGAAGAATGTGCAGACTAAAGATAACAAGATGAAATGGAAAGACAGAATGCAACTAAATACATACAACAATAATGATAATAAGTATGTATATGCAGAGAAGCAGGATATGAGATACACAAATCAGATATGCATAATTTCCTATTATTCACAGGCAGAATATGCAAGGTGAACACGTGAGAATACCACAGTAGGTACTGTCATGCAATTTTGCCAGACCCAAAAGAATAAAGAATAAAGATTTTATTTCTTCGCAAAAGTTGCAATGTGTAATTACAATTTTGGTTTGTTAAGTACAAAGAAAGCCAATATCAAAAGAGCTGCAATTTCTATACAAAATATTATTTCAAAATTATAAGCATGTGTATTGATGGGTATTTTTATTAAAATAAATCTGATATGCAATTTTAAAATTCATGCCAAAAGTAATTTTATTCATCATCAACAAACCACATTCATGCTGTGATATGCCAACTCATTTTTGCACTAATATACTAATATAGTAAAACCTCCACCAGAAATAAGTCATGATGTTTGATTTTATTGGGTTATCCTATTTTTATTAACATATCGGTTACCATATTCTATAAATGTAAAAAATCACATGTAGTGAACCTACTTACATTGTACCACTATTTTATCTACCCTTACCTCACCTACAGTATTTGTGCCAGGGGATCTACTACCTAGAGTATACCTGGAGAGGGTTTCGGGGGTCAACGCCCCCACGGCCCGGTCTGTGACCAGGCCTGATCAACCAGGGCCTGATCAACCAGGATGTTACTTATGGCAGCAGCACGTAAACAGATGTACGAACCACAGCCCTGGCTGATCAGGCACTGACTTTAGGTGCCAAGGGTCTATTTTTTTTTTTTTTTTTTTTTTTTACACAGGGTTTGACAAGGTTAAGGATCCCTAGCTTTATTGACAGCTATTTACAGGTTAAGGATTCCTAACTTTATTGGCAAGCTAAGAGCTGTTACCTACATCAGCTCATTTGAAAGCATTTTTATTGTTATGAGACATACAAGTAGGGAACAGGATGAAGTTGGAGCCATCTGTGGGCCAGTATTTTCATTTGATCAACTGACTTTATCTCGTTGACATCATTATGCTGTACGAATGTGTTCCATACTCGAGTCATCCTGGGTATGTATGATCTCAGATGGAGTGATGTTCTGGAGAAGGGTACAGCCAGAGTGAAGTTGCTGCTTTCTGCCCGTCTTGTGGCATAAAAGCTCGTTTCACGCTGTCCTCGAAGTGGATCCAAGTGTGGTATTTTGACAATATTGCCTTGTACATAACAGTAAGGCCACCCACATCCCTCCTATGTTGAAAGCTCTGCTGAAATGACAGATCTATCCAGGATGGGTCCAGGCGAGAGATGAGACGTCTTGCTCTGTTCTCTACTCTGTCAAGCAGTCGCAGATGAGAGGGGGGGCAGGCAAACCAAGAAAGTGGAGCATACTCAAGGTGTGAGCGTACTTGTGCCTCGTACAGGATCTTGCAACCCCTACTGTCAAGCAGATGCGAGATACGGCAAAGTGCTGTAAGCTTCCTGGCTGCCTTGTTTGCAAGATTTACAACATGGTCCTTCATGGTTAGTTTGGAGTCAAATTTCACCCCAAGGATATCAACTTCTCCAGATGCCAACATCCTCCCATTCATCCTTACTACTGCATCAGCAATATTGGCAATCCCCCTTATACATGCTGGGAGGCAGGTGAATAGTCTTAGGCCCCTTAGGCTGAGTGGCTTAGGCTCTCCCTACATACTAGCTTAAGTGACTTGGCTTAATTTACAAAACTTAGATCAACTCCTCTTAGGTTAGCAAATAAGCCACTAAGCATGAAGCAACTAACCAGGAAGCTGTGTAGACAAAGCTGGAGAATGCTGGCTTGGCTGTGGGTTAGCGTACCATAGGCCTCCATGCGGGTCACACACTGTCTGCCTGGCTTGGTAGAAATGATCACCCTATATCTGTGTAATCTTCACAATCAGGCGTATAATTAACCATTTCTGGGTCCACAGGCCCTCTCAGAGACTTGTTCTCAAGGTCCCCAAAATTTAAAAAAAAAAAAAAAAAAAAAAAATTATTTTTTCTTATGAAAAGATAGAGAATCTTTTCCCGATCATAATGACACCAAAAGTATGAAATTTGATGGAAAACTTACAGAATTATGTTCTCGCACAGTTAGCGGTCTCGACGATGTTTATGCATCAGCGATTTTGCCCACTTTGAGCCCTATTTTCGGCCAATTCCAATGTACTAGTCGACAAAAATCATAACTATTTCGCTAGAACTCCATTTTTTCTATCGAATGAGTACAAGAAACCACCAATTTACCGATTTCAACTATCCAATATAGTGGTCAGAATTTAGCAATTTTGCCAATTTCATGCAAATTTCAAAAGATGCCAATTTCCAAATAGAATCCAAAATAAACAAGAAAGACACTCCTGGCACTAAAATAACATTTCCTCTGTTCATCAGTCACATTCCCAGGCTCCTCTTACATTTTTTTTGCTTTCCACTTTGAATTTTTATTCTCACAAAAAAAATAAGATTTACTGATGTGGAGACTACTGCATTAGTGTAGAAATGGTATAAATAATATAGGCGCACTTGTAAAAGAATATTAGACTCACCAGTTGACGTGTATTGGACGCTTAGCATGATTTGTTTAATTTTGAACCTTGGTAAAAATCAAACATTTCTGTTACTTTGAGCTCAATTTCAAGGTACTTTTCATTGTAAAACCAGTCAAAATCATCTCAATTTCTGTAATATGTCTTCCATTCTATCCAATGAGACCAGGAAAACTAGAATACACCAATAAATACCATACGAAAATATAGTGCAAAGTCTTTGTTTTAATCCAAAAACATGGTCAGTTTTTTTTTTTCATTACGCACTATTTGCTGCAGGATTTTTTTATACTGTGCACACTGACCACATAGACCCATTCTTTCATATATAGGTCTACCAGCTTTCTCTCACTAGATTTGAAGGCGCTAGAATTTATGCGTACTAGTACGTCATGGACACTGGTGCGTAAGCCGTACTAGTACGTCCAAAACCCTGAAAGGGTTAAGAGAGTCTTGTAGGATAGCCCAGGCCTGCCTGTTGAGTCTGCTATGCCTAACAGTAAACCGAGAGAGAGAGGCCTCTAGCTGGCAGTTCACATGCCATAGGGGCTCTGGTGGCCTGGTGGTTAACGCTCTCGCTTCACACGGCGAGGGCCTGGGTTCGATTCCCAGCCAGAGTAGAAACATTGGACATGTTTCTTTCCACCTGTTGTCTATGTTCCCCATCAGTAAAATGGGTACCTGGGTGTTAGTCGACTGGTGTGGGTCGCATCCTGGGACACTGACCTAATTTGCCTGAAATGCGGAGCATAACAAGGGACTTTCTATATAGTAGTATGTCATTGTTATCAGCTAGGACTGTATACCCTGTACATGTACTTGTAGTAAAATAAAGATATTATTATTATTATTATGTGAGGGACTCGTGACGTCACAGATACAAGGGGCTTTTGGCATGTACACTCAACTATTATATTCCATTGCACAACTAAGTATAATGTCAAAATAAATTATTATTATTATTATTATTATTATTTATTATTATAATGTAGTGGTCTTTGAAAGCGAAATCTACTGACATTATCACTCTCAGATTCTTTATCCAGTGGACCCCGCATAACGCTATTAATCCGTTCCTGAGAGCTCAATGATATGCGAAATTATCGTTATGCGAATTAATTTTCCCCATAAGAAATAATGGAAATCAAATTAATCCGTGCAAGACACCAAAAAGTATGAAAAAAAAATTTTTTACCACATGAAATATTAATTTTAATACACACAAACTTAAGAAAACATGCACAGTTACATGACACTTACCTTTATTGAAGATGTGGTGATGATTGATGGGATGGGAGGAGGGGAGACTTGATGGTTTTAGTGTTTAGAAGGGGAATCCCCTTCCATTAGGACTTGAGGTGCCAAGTCTTTTCCGGGATTGCTTCCCTTCTTCTTTTAATGCCACTAGGACCAGCTTCAGAGTCACTGGACTTCTGTCGCACAACATATCTGTCCATAGTGGCCTGTACCTCTCATTCCTTTATGACTTTTCTAAAGTGTTTCACAACAGTGTCAGTGTAATAGTCACCAGCACGGCTTGCAATAGCTGTCTGAGGGTGATTTTCATCAATGAAGGTTTGCACTTCAAGCCACTTTGCACAGATTTCCTTAATCTTTGAAGTAGGCAACTTCTTCAATTTCTCTCTCCCCTCCTCCGAAGCAGTTTCCTCAGGTGTGGCCTCTTGCTGTTGAAGTTGATCTAGCAGCTCATCAGTGGTTAGTTCTTCACTGTCCTCCTCCACCAACTCTTCCACATCCTCCCCACTAACCTCCAACCCCAAGGACTTTCCCAATGCCACAATTGATTCCTCAACTGGCATACTCCTCTCAGGGTTAGCCTCAAATCCTTCAAAATCCCTTTGGTCTACACATTCTGGCCACAGTTTCTTCCAAGCAGAGTTCAAGGTCCTCTTAGTCACTCCCTCCCAAGCCTTACCTATAAGGTTTACACAATTGAGGATATTAAAGTGATCTCTCCAAAACTCTCTTAGAGTCAATTGAGTTTCTGAGGTCACTACAAAGCACCTTTCAAACAGAGCTTTTGTGTACAGTTTTTTGAAGTTTGCAATAACCTGCTGGTCCATGGGCTGCAGGAGAGGAGTGGTATTAGGAGGCAAAAACTTCACCTTAATGAAGCTCATGTCCCCACAAAGTCGCTCTGCCAAGTCTGTAGGATGACCAGGGGCATTGTATAACACCAGAAGGCACTTAAGGTCTAATTTCTTTTCAGTTAGGTAATCTTTCACATTGGGGGCAAATGCTTGGTGTAACCAGTCATAGAAAAAGTCCCTAGTGACCCATGCCTTACTGTTTGCCCTCCACAGCACACACAAATTAGCCTTGAGGATATTCTTTTGCCTAAACGCTATGGGAGTTTCAGAGTGATACACTAATAAAGGCTTCACTTTGCAATCACCACTAGCATTGGCACAGATTAACAGAGTAAGCCTGTCTTTCATAGGCTTATATCCTGGGAGTCCCTTTTCCTCCTGAGTAATGTAGGTCCTGCTTGGCATTTTCTTCCAAAACAGGCCTGTTTCATCACAATTAAACACTTGTTCAGGTTTCAGTCCTTCACTGTCTATGTACTCCTTGAATTCCTGCACATATTTTTCAGTTGCTTTGTGGTCCGAACTTGCAGCCTCACCATGCCTTATCACACTATGTATGCCCCTACGCCTCTTAAATCTCTCAAACCAACCTTTGCTGGTCTTAAATTCACTCGCATCACAACTAGTTGCAGGCATTTTTCTAATTAAATCCTCGTGCAACTTCCTAGCCTTTTCACTTATGATCGCTTGAGAGATGCTATCGCCTGCTATCTGTTTTTCGTTTATCCACACCAATAACAGTCTCTCAACATCTTCTATCACTTGCGATCTCAGTTTCGAAAGCACAGTTAAACCTTTGGCAAGAAGAGCTTTCTTGATTGCCGTTCTCTTGGACACAATAGTAGCTATGGTTGATTGGGGTTTACTATACAACCTGGCCAGCTCGGAGACACGCACTCCACTTTCATACTTAGCAATGATCTCTTTCTTCATCTCCATAGTAATTCTCACCCTTATTCCTGTAGGGTTGGCACTAGAAGCTTTCTTGGGGCCCATGGTCACTTATTTTTCAGGTGAAATCACTATAAAAAGGCTGTAATAATACGAAATGTTCCGATTGTATGCTTGAATGTTACCGCGGAGGCTGGCTTGTAAACAATGCCACTGGCAGAACAAGTGAGGCTGGCTCAGGCCGCATGGACGCGTCTCGGAATTTTTTAGCGCTATGCGAGGCAAAATTTTAGCGATAAAATGTATCGCTATGCGGATTTAATGCTATGCAATGCCAATGTTATGCGGGGGGCCACCGTATTAGCTTTTCACTCTATTGTGTGGCTGGAATTTGTTTAATACCCTGATATAATTTTAATTTCCTCATGTTTTGCATATCTGAGTAGTTGAAATTTCTCTTCATTGAACTTCATATTATTTTCTGCAGCCCATTTAAGGATTTGGTTAATGTCCACCCGGAGTCTTGCAGCATCTTTAACAGAGGACACTGTCATGCAAATTTGGGTGCTGAGCAAGTTACACTGCTATTACTTGCATCACGTTTATTTATGTCTTATATCTACAAACACTCCTAGGTAGTAGGTTGGTAGACAGCACAGCCCAGGGAGGTACAGTGGAGCCCCGCATACCGTTGGCATCACATAATGCTTAATCCGCATACCGCTCGACTTTTATCGCAAAAATTTTGCCTCGCATACCGCTCAAAAACCCGCTCACCGCTGTTCGTCCGAGACGCGTCCAATGTGCGCCCTTAGCCAGCGTCACATGTGCCGCCGGTGGCATTGTTTACCAGCCAGCCTCCGCGGTAACATCCAAGCATACAATCGGAACATTTCGTATTATTACAGTGTTTTTGGTGATTTTATCTGCAAAATAAGTGACCATGGGCCCCAAGAAAGCTTCTAGTGCCAACCCTACAGCAATAAGGGTGAGAATTACTATAGAGATGAAGAAAGAGATCATTGATAAGTATGAAAGTGGAGTGCATGTCGCCGACCTGGCCAGGTTGTACAAGAAACCCCAATCAACCATCGCTACTATTGTGGGCAACAGAAAGGCAATCAAGGAAGCTGTTCTTGCCAAAGGTTTAACTGTGTTTTCGAAAACAGAGATCGCAAGTGATGGAAGATGTTGAGAGACTCTTATTGGTGTGGATAAATGAAAAACAGCTAGCAGGAGATAGCGTCTCTCAAGTGATCATAAGCGAAAAGGCTAGGAAGTTGCATGAGGATTTAATTAAAAAAATGCCTGCAACTAGTGATGATTTGAGTGAATTTAAGGCCAGCAAAGGTTGGTTTGAGAGATTTAAGAGGCGTAGTGGCATACATAGTGTGATAAGGCATGGTGAGGCTGCCAGTTCGGACAACAAAGCAGCTGAAAAATATGTGCAGGAATTCAAGGAGTACATAGACAGTGAAGGACTGAAACCTGAACAAGTGTTTAATTGTGATGAACAGGCCTGTTTTGGAAGAAAATGCCAAGCAGGACCTACATTACTCAGGAGGAAAAGGCACTCCCAGGACATAAGCCTATGAAAGACTGGCTTACTTTGTTGATGTGGTCCAATGCTACTGGTGATTGCAAAGTGAAGCCTTTATTAGTGTATCACTCTGAAACTCCCAGACCGTTCAGGCAAAAGAATGTCCTCAAGGAGAATTTGTGTGTGCTGTGGAGGGCAAACAGTAAGGCATGGGTCACTAGGGACTTTTTCTATGACTGGTTACACCATGCATTTGCCCCCAATGTGAAAGATTACCTAACTGAAAAGAAATTAGAACTTAAGTGCCTCCTGGTGTTAGACAATGCCCCTGGTCATCCTACAGACGTGGCAGAGCGACTTTATGAGGACATGAAATTCATTAAGGTGAAGTTTTTGCCTCCTAATACCACTCCTCTCCTGCAGCCCATGAACCAGCAGGTTATTGCAAACTTCAAAAAACTGTACACAAAAGCTCTGTTTGAAAGGTGCTTTGTAGTGACCTCAGAAACTCAACTGACTCTAAGAGAGTTTTGGAGAGAGCACTTTAATATCCTAAATTGTGTAAACCTTATAGGTAAGGCTTGGGAGGGAGTGACTAAGAAGACCTTGAACTCTGCTTGGAAGAAACTGTGGCCAGAATGTGTAGACAAAGGGATTTTAAAGGGGTTTTTGAGGCTAACCCTGAGAGGATTATGCCAGTTGAGGAATCCATTGTGGCATTGGGAAAGTCCTTGGGGTTGGAGGTTAGTGGGGTAGGATGTGGAAGAGTTGGTGGAGGAGGACAATGAAGAACTAACCACTGATGAGCTGATTGATCAACTTCAACAGCAAGAGGCCATACCTGAGGAAACTGGTTCAGAGGAGGGGAGAGAGAAATTGAAGAAGTTGCCTACTACAAAGATTAAGGAAATCTGTGCAATGTGGCTGAAAGTGCAAACCTTTTATGGATGAGAATCACCCTCACACAGCTATTGCAAGCCGTGCTGGTGATTATTACACTGACAATGTTGTGAAACACTTTAGGGAAGTCATAAAGGAACGAGAGGTACAGGCCACTATGGACAGATATGTTGTGCGAAAGAAGTCCAGTGACTCTGAAGCTGGTCCTAGTGGCATTAAAAGAAGAAGGGAAGTAACCCCAGAAAAGGACTCGACACCTCAAGTCTTAATGGAAGGGGATTCCCCTTCTAAACACTAACACTCTCTCTCCCCTCCTCCCATCCCATCAATCATCACCAGATCTTCCATAAAAGTAAGTGTCATGTAATTGTGCATGCCTTTTTCAGTTTGTGTGTATTAAAATTAACATTTCATGTGGTAAAAATTTTTTTTTTCATACTTTTGGGTGTCTTGCACGGATTAATCTGATTTCCATTATTTCTTATGGGGAAAATTCATTCGCATACCGATCATTTCGCATAACAATGAGCCCTCTTGCACGGATTAAAATCGCTATGCGGGGGTCCATTGTACTACCATCCTGCCAAGTGAGCATAAAATGGAAATCTGTAATTGT